AAATGAGCGGTCACTTGCAATAGATCTCGTAAATATAGCTAATTTTCTGACTCTTTAGCCTATATAAATAACAATGCTGACATTCGTTTCTCTAATAATTTTCAGAATTAGGAATCTTGCGAAAGTTCTCTCTAAGCTTGCATGTCTCCTGAATGTGATCATCAATACTTCCCCTACACAGCGTTAGCGCCTGCGTCTCTTTGTTCCTTTTCGCGGAACATTGACGACCTCAGGTCCTGGTGGGCATTAAACAGAGTCTGCCTCGTCGTTCCCGTGACATCGGTTCTCTCATGCGCACATAAGGCTGCTGCTGCAGCCTTACCTTGCATATTTGCAAAGTAATTAAGCTAATCGTTTCTTTCAATTATGTTGAACGCGCAAGTTGCTCGTGATCGCTAAAATTTATTAATAAACTCAAAGGTTCATTTGAATTTACTGGTTTACTTTTAATTCAAGACTTCAAATTAGATAATTTTTTCATTTATATGATTTTTTTATATTAGTGATGTGAAGAAGATAATTCTCCGCATGGTGTGAAAATAATTACTTTTTTTATCCATGCCGGGATACTTTCACTCAGGTTTCTACAAATCTCATGAATAACTCTTCGATAATGTTCGTGTCTCAACTTGCCTGTTTCGCACGCAGTCTTCGTGGACGTGACCTCCGAATAACGCGTCGCCAAAACATCTTCGTTTCCAAGGCTACGCGCGCTCGTGGCCGCTCAGCTCTTCGGTCATATCCCGTCTTAGCTTCGGGTCCTTAATTGCGTAGCATCTCATATACCAGTGGTCGGGTGTACCTAAAATAATAGCACTCTACCCTTCAGGGCGCCAGCGGTTCCTGCAATTTTTCAAGGTCTTAAATCGAAGGCATTTTTATAATATAATTAAGTAGCTTCGGTGCACCAATCAATTATTTAGCTTCAGTGCATATGGAGTTCACTTTGGTTAGGGCATTATTCATCTATAATATCATCCATGATTCCGTTTTACTGCGGTAGTTTTTTGGGGATTAGTTGAATATTTTAGCGTTGCATATTATCAGACCTATTTTTGTCAGAGTTATGCTCTTGTTTCAAGCTTCTTGGTAAAAGAACTATCTAACATAAATTATCCCATTCTCGGTGTATCTTAGCAGTATGTTAAAGTTTCGTGCACACCTATTCGTGAAATTCAGAGAAATTTCCCTATTACCATTGAAATACAGTGGCAAACATTGCGACCCAAAACACATGTCAGAATTGCTACTGCAAGAAAAAGATTAATGACACCAGGACCGAAACAACAGGATCATAAGCAACAATAAGATAGTGTGTTGTTGGTCCCAGCGAAGGCTATTAACCTTTCACCCGTTGGGGTCGCATCCATCACGGCGTGAGGTCATTCAGTCCTTGCAATCTGCTCAACGGTGGGATCGCTACCTGCATCCAAAAGAATATTAATACAACCGTGTAATACTTTTCAGGGAATTTTTTCGTGCATTGTCTTCACTCTATAATAGGGAAGCTATCTTTCTAATCTTCATCTATTCGAGTCATCTTCAAGACGCTGGAAACCATTCATTTTCTCTCCTCATGTCACTCAATCTCGCTGATGAAAAGGAAAAATGTTTTCCGGCTATGGGTGAACAAGTGAATTGCATTTCTTAATGCATGACGATGCCCTCATGTGAGGGCGTAACACTTATAGGATCTCACTGAGCTGCCGTCGAAAATTGTTTGAGTCAATTTGACGGTCGCAGTCAAGACGGAGCGTAATGTACCTGACGAACTACGCGCTACAGCACAGGTGCTTGACATGTTGAGGAGTCCATGAGCTATGAAACTCAAAGGCACAATTAAAAAAAGCATTGCATGGATGGGATTAAAATCCAGCAGATATTTCATAACATTTCTGAAAGTAATTTTTTTATAAATTGATCCTTGTTCAATAGAATTCATTTCTGTAAAGCGAACGTAATCTGAGGAAGATCTTCTTGTTTGCTCAGGATTAAGAGTGATGTTGAAACTCAAGTGGATGGAAAGGCATTGTTTATGTTGTTGCAGATGTCAGCAAGCTTGGGCAAACGCTGACTCTCGTTAGTCACGGATGAGATTATAAATCTTTCATCGTGCGCTAATATGGGAAGAAATCTATGATCTTTTGGAAGTGCGAAGCTGTCTAGGACAAACAAAACATCCGTACGCTTGTTCCATTGGGCGGACGACGAGTCAACGACTGTCTGCATACGCCTGCACAGTAAACATGGGCAGGTAACATGACTTGAAAATGATGATAATGTGGCGGATATTGCGCCTAAGCCCACTTGTAATATGTTGAGAGATGTGCTCGCTATGTTCTGGCTTTTAATCATTATAAATATAAAATACTGCAGGAGGTGACAGCTATATATTTGCCTCCAAATTAGGTGGTGGGCATCATCATTCCATGCTAAATCAGGCATAAAGGTGATGTTGGAAGCCTCTTAAGGAATCTTCAAGCTCGTAAATGACAAAGATTGTGTGAGGCTTCTGCTGTTTATGGCCTTTCTTCACAGCGATGTAAAAACCAATGTCGCTATATATTTTTATCTACATAATTGTTGAAGAATATTTACCAATCTCATTAATCGCAAAACTTAAACTGCGTGCAGAATTTCACCTCAATTTAAACACAGAAGCTTTGGTTGAAAACTGGTACAAACATATCGTATCATCAAATATGAAAACAAAGAAAACAGAGCAAATGAGTGAAGACAGAATACAAATAATCGCGGCATGAAAAGAACACCCCATCTTCCTTCGAACTTTCACTGGAATTTTAGAACGTGGCCTCGGACGTGCCTCATTCCGGAAAATTAATCGCAAAATAGCAACCTTGAGGACGTTCCGTTAATTTATTACGACACTCAATGAAATTAGCGCATATATATTATGTGTAGTCACAGAGAGGAAGCCGAAAGCAATCGCTGTTGAACTGTCAAGCAGGTTAGGAGTGGCCGCGTGGGAGGAGTGAAAGCTTGCGAGGTTTGGTCACGTGCGGTCATGCTTCTATTATATTTCTGTTTGCAGGAATGAGTACGGGAAATCATTGTAATAGAATCGTTGAGTCGTCAATGAAAGGATTCAAAACATAGCTCCCTTTACATGGCTTTCTAGGCATACATGAACATTTATATTCATTTGCATTTTCCTCTTGACTTGAATAGACTCTCCTCTGAACTAATCCGAGGTAATGCCACTTGGCAATGGCATATCAAAGCTAATGCCTTGTAATACCACTTATTCTAGCCTGGCTGTAGAGAACAAATTGGTTGGCCATGATTCAAGATAAAAATTACTGACTACTCAGGCTCACTTCAGCGAGATTATGTCACTCTTCAGGCACTTGCTTAAGAGACCAAATCAGAAACCTCCGTATTAAAATAAAATTTTAGTATGAATTCATTTCTGCTGCAACTCACTTGCTACTTGTGAACTGAGGAGAATTTGGTAATTTCCATTGCATTTTATGTCAATATATAAAATAGTCGTCGTCATAGACACGGCTATTGGCTTTTGATATCTAGCGCTTAGTGTCTTAACGTGTAAATAAAAATGGAAAACAGCATTCGTAACGATTGAACACGTCCCATTTTGCAAATGCATTTTTGAAAATTGCAGTTATAATAACTATATACAGAATGGAAATCTAAAATGAAACATTTTTACTATGTTCACAAAAATTCATACGTGCGTGTAAAATATGAGAATTGACAATCTGAAACATTCAACAAGCTGTGAAAGTTCTCCTATGTTCAGTATCAGCTGCAGGTCTAAGGCCTATTGACTGGGTGACATCGCTATTACATTTGTATTACAAATGTTTAATGTCTTCAAATGCACATATTACGTTGTAACCTAAAAATACTAGCGTCATTTTTTCGTCACGCGGCTTTGGTCATTATTTCCGTTCTCCTCTATGATATGGCAAGTGACACAATTATATTAATAAATATAATTGAGATTTATGTAAGCCCCATCAACATCTGAGGATGAGTCAGCAAAAATATCATCGCTTCGCCCATGCAACCACTTTAATTGCTTCGACGCAACTGTAATTAATTATAATCACTTTCAAATTAATAGTTATTATCTGCAATACTTTTAATAGCGAAACTGGGATATTTAATTACTCTATTTTTTTATTAAAATCTCATCACTAACAGAATTACTTTTGTTGTGTTGCAACGAACTTTTTCTGCACATAACATGTGTAAAATTTGTTTTATATTCAATTCAGACAGGCTCGTCTTACACTAGCTGGTGCTCTATATTTTGTTGCTAGCTTAACGAAACATGTGGGGCTATTACCGTAATTTATAATTACGCATGTACAGTAAGTGGTTTCACTATTCATCGCAGTTGGCCAAATTACAGTTGAAGCAGACGATAGAGCACTGGACAAGATTGTGAGTTTACAAGCATATCTGAAATCGAAGGACGAGGAAATAAAAATCCTATCGGTGCGAAGGCATTGCAAACTTTTTACCTTAAATTAATGACGGCTTAATCATGATAACATTTTGAATACATTCAAATTTAATATTGAATAATGCTGCATTCAAAACATTCAAACTTATATGGAACGTCCTACTTAACTTTTATTGTTACATTTTAACTACGCTATGCAAGCTCAATCAGTATGTTCGCCAGTATCGAACGCGGCGACTTACATCATCGAACGTTGTGTGAATCATCTACGTTGATCGATTCGCGTGACTTCTCGTCTGTATTACAGAGACTCGTTTTAGTGAAGGCCGCACTGACGGAACTGCCAGCGGGTGAGGAAGTCTTGTGGAACCTCCAGAGTCACCCAACCTTAGCAGACTGCGTGTCTAACGATAGTCTCATCGCCCATTGGGTTCTTGTCTCTGAAGTTTATGTCCGATTTATATAACCATGTTTCTTGTCCTCTCAGGATCAAAACAATGATGAAAACGGGTAATTTTGCTAAAATATATGATGCTTTTTTCGTCAGAGTTTCATCGCCAGCTCGGACGTAGATGCCCAAAACTTACATCAACATCTTGGCTCAGAGTAAGTGGTATTAAAGGTTTATTTGTGTAAGGCTTATCCTTTATAAATAAGTTATTTGTTATTGATTCGAGACTAGATTATTCAGACTTTGGTTTCTCTGAACAAAGACTTGAAACAGAAGGGCAGAAAATTTAACTGGACGCTAATTAATTTATGCTGTTAATTACTATGCTGTTAATTGATTATGCTGTGTTAATTGCTGGGTTTTTAGAATACTAGAACATAGAATAATCTGCACCTCCCACAACCCTGTTGTAGATCTAACAAGTTTGATGCGCAAACCGTGATGCAAGTGGGAGAACACTCAAATGAATTCGTCGTGTTGAACCAAGAAGTATCGCCGCAGCAGATCAACTCAGCAGGATTTCAATCATTTGGAGTCCCTCTTCCCACTGGCCCGCTTGAGTCTCAAAACTTTGGTGAAAGTCAACTCACAAACGGGATCGGCTCTGCAACTATCAAGCAGCCTTCTCCCACGGCGCTTCATGAAAGTCATCTTGCGGCTGCCAACGCTAAATCTCACTCAGGCAGCGGTGCCTCTCATCCTCAGCATCAAGATTCCTCGCACCATGGTTCAGGGAATGAGCTTGGGGTCTCAAAGTTAGAAGATCCATCGACAACACATTCACAGTTCTTTGTGAACCTAGGTGAACAAGTGGGTGTTCCTCTGCCCGGACTGGAAAACTCGGGTGATGTCAGACCCGGAAATGATTTTAGTCTCTCAACTGGCAATGCATTTACCGTGACTTTGGATGATGATTCTGTGCTCGGGTCTGTTGAAGATAACCTGGACACAATCAAGGACATCATGGAGAAGGAAGACTTAGAATCCGCCTTAGAAATCTTGCAGGAAACTAATCTCCTTGACCAGCTAATGGATGAAAGTAAGTTAATATGTTATGAGCCTGAAATATTGCCACTCCTCATCAATGAATTTCTATGAAATGAAATAAATTAAATATGTAAAAAAATGAGTTCACCTTCAGTTTTCACATGCAATTTTAGTTGGCTAGATGAAACAAAAAGAAAATCTTTCGATTAATCTGGTCGAATAACTACGATAAAACGTTACCATTAAGAGTACATTGTACAATATGAGTTTGATGTTTTTTAATTTATTTAATTTTCTCTACTGTGTAACAGAAAGTGGAACTTTCCTCCTCCTCGCGCCGACGAACGAGGCCTTGTCACGCCTTTCCTCAGCTGAGCTGGATGAGCTCAAGTCGAACAGTTTATTCTCCTACCACATAATCCCGTTGGGCGAAATGCCCGCCCCGGAGGTCATCAACGATTCGACTTTCGCGACCCTCTTAGGAGAGCCTGTTCGTTTTAATGTTTACAACGGAAAAGTTTTCGTTAACGGCAAAGGTCTTGTGAGAGGCGACATCAGGGTTCCTCGAGGAACCATCCAGGTAATCTTCGCTTCTGAAATGAAAACACTATGATGAATGAACAAGTGCGATTCAAGAGTTTAAAAAGAGTAAATAGTTGAAATGATTCATGATTTGCAATCAGTTTTAATTAGACTGTAAATTTGTAATTTGATATCTACTTTCTCAAAAAATGAGTCCATTTAGTGACTTTTCTTCCAAGATGGTTTGAATTTAATAAAATTATACTAATAACGTATATACTTGTGCAACAAAAGTAAAATTGCATGTATTAATCTCAAGATTAATAAATGCACTAATGATTTTTTTATTTAGATTGATAATACTTTGGGTATTTGTAAATTTGCGTGGAAAAAGCAGAAGTCTTCCCGTCTATTATGATATGATTTTTCATGGGATTTTTCTAGTTTAATAATTTGCTCGATTAAAATAAATGTGGTGAATGCTTTCTAATCAAAATTCGTTACTAATGAACCAGAAAATTTAATAAACCGCCTAAATTTTATATACATGATTTTAAAAATTTTAACTAAATCTTAACAACGGAAAATCATTGAACAGAATCGTAAAATGAGTAAAATCTTATCTTACTGAAGCAAAGATGACGTTCAGTGGATGAACTCAGTTGTATTCAAGTGTTTCCTGCCCCAGGTAGTGGACGGCGTGCTGAGGCCCCCCTTAGGCGACCTGCAAGCTGTCCTACAGAACTCTGAGTCGCAGGTCACACGCACCGCAGCCCTCCTTACCATGCATGGCAGGACGCTCTCCAAAGGTCACGAGTCGGCAACGATAACTCTTGTATTACCGAAAAATAACTCATTTATATGATACTTTTATCACACACTTCCAAATTTCTTCCAATGTTTGAAAGTTCAAAACTCCTGAAGTGTTCACATTGTGCGGGATTTTCCGCCGAGCTCGAGAGGCTGGATTTTTTACTTTCGTTGACTTGAGTGACCGTCGATATATTTTATTGGGTAAAATTTTCGCTTGTAGACTATAAGTTTGTATAATATAGTGGCCATATACGCTTTTATAGTCTGTAATAGAGGCTCCCACACATAATATTGATGTTTAATTTTTGGTGGTGTTCATTTCGCATGAAATTTTGCTCGCTTCATCTCGCACCAGTGCGTTAAATGCTTCAAATCCGCAAGACGATATCCAATAAAATCTTAAAAATCTGTTTTAAATTTCACTCAGAAACTAATCATGATTAATGTTGACGTGAGGTCTGATAGTTACTGCCCTACAGACACGCCCATCACGGTGCTAGCGCCCCTTGACGCCTCCATCACATCAAAGGGCTTCTCGTGGCCTGAACTCCTCGAGAACCCCGAGGTAAAGTGCCCTACTTCTTCTGTTTTCCTCGTTTCCTCCAATCATGCTTCTACTGTTTCATTAAATTTTGATGTTCTTTTACTATCCCATTCGTTTATTCTTCAGTTCGCTCTTTGCGCGTTATTCAATTCCCCTATTTATGAGTCAATTTAAATTTCTCAAGAGCTATCACATCAAATAACCAATCCCATATCAAATTTATTCATTCACTTTCCATGAATAGTGTTATTTGAACGTGTGCAAATTCACCTCGAGTTTGATTCTAAAATCATAATAAATTTTGAAAAAATGAATACCTCACTAAAGATGGCGGCGTCACTTCTGAACGGCCATACAATCGCGGGCTCCTGGTACAGCCAGGGCCTGGAACGCCAGAGAACCTTGACTTCTTCAGCAGGAATGAACATCACCTTCAGGAAGGATTTCGATGGTAACGACTCTATTATATGTAATCATACATTTTAAAATCTTCCTTAATCCTCATTCTGAGTGAAGTTTCATTTTACGGAGTTGATTCTACCCTCCTTAGAACATTAATACTCGGTTCAAAACTGAATATCTCAACAGAATTCGTCGACTGAAAGTCATTACTTCAGATGGAATAAGTAACTGAATTTACTTGACAAAAGGATGGAAATCGATTTGCATCTCAAGATCTGAAGATCTGCATCATTATAAAATCTTTTTAGCTGTAAGAAATGCTCAATAGGAATTATTGACAGATAGGAATTTTTTCATCTGGTAACTGACGATTGAATGAAAAGCCTTTTATATGACTTACATTTTAATGGCTTCATTTTTTCAGGAACAATGACTGCCAATGGAATTCCAATCATAGTGTCAGATTTGTCAGCTGTGGATGGAGTGGCTCACGTTTTAGCAGACCTCATCCCCAACACGGATCTTGGCTCCGATGCAACTGCATCTCAGACTAATATTCTGGACCAAATCCGAACTGGGATCATAGAAAAAGCACAGAATAATTTTAACGGAGTTCCGAATTCTCTCGTGAGTTCCGAACTTCAAGGATTCAAGTCTGTCGATGACACCGGCATTCAGCCTCAATTCAATCTGAACTTAGGAAGTTTACATTCCGCTGGTGTTAAAAATGATGCCAGCCGCGGAGTGCCTCAAATAAGTGGCCTCTATCAAACTCCAGTAGAAGATAACTTCAACTTTAATGTAGCTCCTTCGCCTTCCATTTTCCAACAACCTCATACAAATGCAGGCGCAGATCAAAATGTTCCGTCGTACGGTATATTGTCTCCTACCGACCCTATTACGTCTTTTGTTCCGGATTTTGATTCAACTTCTGGTGAACAGGTTCATGATCTCTCTGATAATCAAGGTATTTCAATTGAATCAGCATCTTTCGGTCATGCATTGGAAGAGGCAGGTGATCATGGCACAATTACGCCCACCAATGTCAGGGTTCCTTTGCCAGATGCTAACATAGGCCCTCAAGGAATACCAACTACAGACTTTGGAGCTCCGGCTGACTCCACTTATGGTGTTAGCAATACTCGGCTCCCCATTGACGTCGGGATTCCACTTCCAGAGGCCAGCCTTGGCTCAGTGAGTCCTTCACCTGACTATGGTGCTGTGTCTCCAGGCTCGACTTCAAGCAACGAAGAAGGAAATTTAATTATTTCAGAAGGCGTTGGGATACCACTGCCAGAAATTACCGTTGGTGTTCAAGCTCCATCAGCTGCTTTCGACACTTCATTTAATGACCTGGGTTCTTCTCTACCGGATGCAAAAGTTGACATCCAAATGGAAAATTTTGACTTCAATACTGATTCCTTGCCGAACGATGATAGTCTTGTCACTATTGCTGAGACGATCGCTCAGTTTGATCAATCACAGACACATGGAAGTGATATAAGCGGAACGCAATCTGTTGGGAGCTTTGCCCCGGAGCCAGATTTTCCTACCGCCTCAACAACTGGCGATGTGCAACAGCCGTTTTCTGGAACGCCGTCGACAGTAGGCACGTCTGACTTATCCCAGCCGCCAGCATTTATACCGTCCGCTGCTCCACCAGCTGGAAATGTGCCTTCTTTCCTCACTCTTTACAATGCTCCGGATCTTTCCTCTGATGAGAGAACTGATCCATTCTTTTCGGCAATTCCGGCGGATTCACTCAGAACTCTTTCTTCATCTTCAACTCAAAATACTGACGGTTCAACGGGTTTATCTGCTGGTCGATCTCTTTCTTCATCTCCAGATTCCGCCCAAAGAGTCAACAACGTTTTCATATCAACCCCTGAACTTGAGCCCGGTCAAATTAATCCTTTTGATCTTTCGAGTAGAAATAAATTTGACAATTTTAGCCCAAAAAATGAGGGTTCAACAGCTCTCGAAATCTCAATAGACGACGATGGCCATGATTCATTTTTTGTAATAACCAGAGGGAATTTGAATCTAAAAGACGTTATTGATGGTCTTGACGAAAATATCAAAAAACACATTCACATTCTAGACTCTCCGTCAATTTTCTACAACAATTCCGTAACTGAGTTAGCCCTTCAAAAATCTTTACCTCCCCAACTTCTTGACGAAATTCGTTCTACTCTTAATGCAAACAACATGACATTTGAGAATATAGGCTTTTCCTCAGCATCAGGTTTGTTGACTGCACGAACAAGCAATAATTTTCCAGCTTCGCAAGCAACTTTGACTAGAGATGAATCTGTTGTGCTGTCGTCTAACAGCGCTAAAAGTTCTTTGTCTGTTGACAGCGGCATTGGCAGAGAATCTAGCACCACTAGAACTGACGATATCTCAGCAAAAGCATCCACTCCAGATCACTTGGAGAAAACAGACACGGACGCGCCGAAAGCTGCTTTGAACGAAACCATCGCTTTGACGGGTTCACGAAAAAGTACCCAGGGATCACTTGTTCGTACGCCGCTCCTCAGCTCAGTAAAAACGTCAGTGAATAATAAACGTGTACAATCGAGAGTGTTGATCAACAACAAGGCTTTTATCACAGACTCAAATACACATTCTCCATTACTCGAATTCGGAACAACAGCAATTGATGAGATCATCGACTTAGATGGGATAACTACAGAATCATTAGATGTCGAAATTACAACGCTGTCTCCTAAAACACAAAAGAGCCTAGACCTTGTTTCCGAATTGAATAATTTTATAGAAGAACATCAGAATGCTCAACTGCTGCAAGAACAAAGGTTCCCAATCATTGTTCTAGCTGAAAATGAGTTCTCCTTTACTACCCACAGCCCCAACGATGTAACAACAACATCTTTTGATTTAACCACTGACTCATCGGTCACCGAAATATTCGAGGATGTGTCGGTTAACACTGACATTCCGGTAATATCCGAAATACTTCCTCCATCGACGGATTTTCCATTATCTAATTTCCCTACTAATTCTACCGTTCAAATTTCTGGACGCTCTTCTCTCGCGGCAGCGGCTCGGAAATCATTGTTAGAGCAACAGCTGCAGAGTGATGATGCTGTGTCAGCTTCTCATGAGCAAGAAATAAATGTTATCGAGTTTCTAAGGCAGCAAAACCTCACCGCTTTCGCTGACATGCTGGAGCTCACCGGCTTAAACCGTGACATGATTCGCGGTGGTAAGTTGTTCTACAGTTCTTAGTATAGGTTGTTCGAATTTTCATGGAAAATGTTCACAATATTTTAGCAAACAATCTTTTTTTTACAACGCAAAATATAATTTTTGTAATGAATTCGTTGTTATAGTGGACTTCACTGTCTTCCTTTGTTGTGTACATGAAGAATTTAAGACATTTTTTGAAACGTGTGGAAATTTTTGGTACTATTCAAACTATGCTTTATCCCCACTTGAGTTTGAATTGTAATATAAACTAATGATTAACAGGATTTCCAGTGATTATATTTTTGCAAAATCATTGTATGTAGGCTTGATTCATATTTTGAAGGAACTATGCAGAATTAATTTTAAATTAAATTGAATAATAATATATTGTTTACATATTAAGTATGCATACTAATTTCATATCTCCATCACGGCGCGAGATAGCTTAGCAGCTGAAGCGCTAGTAATCCTAGGGTCACTAAACTAACTCTTATCTCCATCAGGCCCATGGACGATCTTCGCCCCCAGCAACGAGGGTATCGAGATCGTGCGTCTCTCAGGAGGGCTGGACCTGAGCATGAAGGACCTGCGGCACCTCGCCGCGTACCACGTCGTGCCACGAGTCCTCACGAGGGACATGTTCACGGAGAAGGCAAGACTGCCTACGTTATACGCGGGCTACTCCCTCTACATGGAGTCCAGCGACAACTTGGTGAGCATGCAACAGGGGAATGGGAGTAATCGTATATATATGTGACGTTAAAATAGTCGTATATATAGGTGACGTTAAAATAATCGTATATATAGGTGACGTTGAAATAATCGTATATATAGGTGACGTTAAAATAATCGTATATAAAGGTGACGTTAAAATAATCGTATATATAGGTGACGTTAAAATAATCGTATATTTTGGTGACGTTAAAATAATCGTTTAAAAATCGGTGGCATTAAAATAATCGTATATTTAGATGACCTTCAGACTTGCCAAATGTTTTTCGATTTTCTGGGTGTTTCATGTGATGATTCACAACGACAAGGGTCGTTGGACTTGGGATTTGCACGCAAGTTGAGCAGAAAAACAGGATGTGTGTTCATTGACCTTAAGATGACTCAAGTTTGCATTTCTCTACATGACATAACCTTGCGCCAACTCGCAATCAGAACCAGTTTACTTTCTTCCTGGAAGGTTTTTATTGTGGTAATAATTCCATTCGTGCCTCCCAGTGGTCAGCCGGAGGTGGACTGGTGTCTGATAGCTCGTCTGTCCACGCTGGTCCTTCTACATGGGTGATCCATGGCGTGGACCGCGTCCTGTACGCCCCCCACGGCAACCTGCTCACCACCATGGCCCTCGCTCCCGCCCTCACCAACTTCACCACCTTACTTGCTGCCAACTCTCGCATCCGCAGGATGCTTCAAGGTTGTTACTTTTAGAAATAGGTAGCTATTTGTTTATTAATCCCAACAACAGTTGCATAAATCCACAACTTCGTCCCACTTAACTTGTGCAACAAACCTCATACTTGTATAATTCTACAAGCTGATGAGTAATACTAGTCGGTGTTTGGTACTAGCTTACAGTAGATCTGAGCCAAACGTGTTTAATAATAAACTAAAATCAAACTAAAATAAAAAACTGCGTTGTAACACATCCATGCGACAACATTTCTTCTCGCTTCGAATCACCGACATGTGGAACAGCCTCCCTGATAGTACCGTTGACGCTCCGGTATGAACGCCTTCAAGAACAGACTAGATGGAGCTATGCAGGAACATATGTTGTCTTGAAATATGAGTCTAAGTAGAAGTATAAATTTAATATATATATAAGTGAAATGCAAGTTCAGTCCTTGCAATAAGTCCAGCAGCTATCTCAATCAATTCGTCAGCTATGGAAAGATCGGATTCAAAAGGCCGGATCCCTTGTGAATCAAGTCACGAAAAATTCAAGAATCGGCAACAGCCCATGGGCCTATTTCTTGAGTGCCGACACTTGTATTCTATTCTATTTTATATTTTTACGTATACACGAATAGTTCAATTGACAGCATTGAGCCTGCGATTCTTATAGTTGTGCTTATTTCATTATAACACTTCTCTTTAACTTCTCTTCTTGTTATATTGATTCTCTCTGTCTGCTCCAAATCTTATAATCGAAATTTAACACACTCCTACTAATCCTATCGATCTGAAATTTTGCGCACTTGCGTAAAGTTGGAGACAATGCATGAATCCATTGACAGAATAAACGATTTGAAAAATTAACGAAAAAATTCCGATATTAAAAATATTGAAAAAATAATTTTGTCAGCTACAAATCTTATAACTGATATTTGACACACTTCTACCTGTCCAGTTAATCTGAAAATTTGCACACTTGTGTGAAGCTGGAGGCAATACATGAATCAATTGACAGAATAGATAATTTTGTATAAATATTCATTTATTACCAAAAATGAAAAAAACAATTTTTTTAATATTCGAAAATAAAATGAGCAATTCATTGTTTACTTGTAACATTGGAGACACTGGATTCTTTAGAAGTGTTGTCTTTAAAAAGCAATTTCTAAATGTATATTATTTTTATTTATATTTACAAGCGAAGTTGGAACGCAGCAGTTGAGTTGAGCTGCAGCAGCAAGTGTGGCTGGTCGTATGCGTGTGGTGGCCATATATATTGGTGTTGTTTATTGCTGCTGTGTTATTTATATATTATATAACATTAGTTATATAATATATATATAATATATATATATATAATAATATTATATATTAGTGTTGTGTTTTGCTGAAACGCTGGCAATGCCATTGTTGAACCAATGAACTTCAACCACGGGCAATACGCCCTCCAATCAAGCCAGCAGGCAATTTTTGCACCAATTTATTCATCATCGATCGAGAAACAATTTTAAATGGCTTATCCTTCAATTTGAAATGTTTGAAATTTTAATCAAGCTTGAAAATCAAATGTATTGATTCTTTAAGCGAAAACGATGAATGTTCGTTGCCCGATGGACCTCACATTGGCCATAAAGTCGTCTGCTGTCTCGAGACGCCATATATAGGGGTTTGTCCAATTTCGTATCCACAATACCGGACTATATAAAGTCTGGTCTCAAAAATCGTCTTCATCATCGATTTTCTTTGAAATTTCGATTGAACTAAAAATCTTTAACAAAATGGCTGGTCTCCAAAGACTCACGGAATGCTCTTCTATGTCAAGCTAAGGCATGTCGGACTGGCAATTCGCCAGTCCTGCCTACTTCCTGTCAACAGAGCCTCTCTGGTAAACCCAGTAGTTCTCTGGTGACGCCAGAGCTGAGCCGAAGCGAGGCGCCGCCCCCCAAGAGGGGGAAGAGATTCACCGCATTCTTGCGGAGACTCTTTTGTGGCTGTTGCAGGCCACGCGGCGAGAACGACGGTGCCCGGTGAATGGTAGCGCCCAATCTTGAGGAGTTGGGGCGCTGCCTTCACCTGGCTACTGCTTTGCTCTTGGGGGAAGGGAGTTAGGAGGGGGGTCCTTCGGGACCCAAAAAATAAAACATCCTGCCTACTGAGGGGGGGGGGTCCTTTGGGATCCAATGAATAAGACTTCCTACCTGCTGTGGAGGCTACGATCTATGGAACACCGTCAATCCTAGCTGCGACATTTGGCCTACGTGAGGTAATGTGCGGAACATTATTTTCCCCAAAAGGACGATTGTTTTTTGTCCGATATATAGTATCTCACATTGGACATGAAGTTGTCTGCTGTTTCGAGATACCATGTATAGAGGTTTGTCCCATTGCGTATCCACGATACCCGACAGTCTGGTCCCAAAATTTCGCCTTCATCGTCGATTTTACATTGGAAATTTGTGGCTGCGGCAGGCCACAAGGCGACGTCCGAGAGCGACGGTGGCTGGTGAACGGTAGCACCCAATTCTTGATTTGGGGCACTGACTTCGTCTAGGGGAGGAGGGGTGGTCCTTCGAGACCCAAATAATATAACATCCTACCTGATGGGAAGACGGGGTTTATTCCAACCTACGTCAATCAACGCATCTGGAATGCGTAGTCCGGGCTTATCCAAATTTCTGGGATCGACTACCACTTTGTGATATTGAAGTCGCCGGGACATAAATGTTTCGAATATCTTTAATATAACAAATTTAGTTTGTGTATCAGCAGTGCGTTTGTGTTGTAAGCTCGGCGCCACAAATATATAGGGGCTTAGTAAACGCTTATTCACCATACGCCGGAATATTTCCGGCGAAAAATTTTAGAACTCCGGCGCCGGAAAATAATACGCCAGAATTTTAATATAATATATTATACGCCGGAAAATTAGTTCATGACAGAATATGGTAGAATGTAAAGACTAAGATAGGATTGGAATTTTATTTTTAAATCAGAATTTATAGATTGAATTTAAAATCTGCATTTTTCCTATTTTTGAACGACAAGCAAGTGGGTGTTCCAAGTTTCATATAGCATGTATAGCTTTAAACTGGTATCGATATTTTTTAATACATTAATTACAACACTTCTCTTTTTACAACACTTCTCTTTAACTTCACTTCTTGTTGTCTGTCTGCTACAAATCTTATAACTGATATTTAACACACTTTTACCTATCCAATTGATCTGAAATTTAGCACACTTGCGTAAAGTTGGAGACAATGCGTGAACCAATTGATAGAATAAATAATTTAAGTAATTAAAAATTTTTTTCGTCATTAAAAAAAATTACAAATAATTTCGTCTGCTACGAATCTTATAATCCATATATGACACAATTTGACCTGTCCAATCGATCTGAAATTTTGCACACTTGCATAAAGTCAGAGACAATGCATGAATCAGTTGACGGAATAAATAATTTTGAAAATCTACAAAATTTTGATATCTTAACAAAATTTTGGAAAATACTTTTTTTTAATATTCGAAAATAAAATTAGAAATTCACTGTACATGTGTAACATCCAAGACACTGGATTGTTCAGCAGTGCTGTCTTTAAAAAAACATTTTTATTATTTTACATATTATCTCAGTTGTATTCAGTCCAGGGGCCATACTTTCAAAACTCGCTAAGTGAACGTAAGTACTTAAGCACTATTTTCTTTTCTATGATTTGTGTATGTTGCTTGAAAGGCCGTCAATGATTGGCTGATGAACTTACGATCTCTTAACTTTTTTGAAAGTATAGGTCCAGGATTCATTTGAGATTTAATTTCTCCTCATGCAGGTCGTCGGCCGGTCACTGTGATTGCTCCCAGCAACGCTGCCATGGCCAGACTCCCTCCCGGCATTAGTCCATCAGAAGGTATGACGCGAGCGCTTAAAATGTAACGTAGTTTTGAGTCAATCGACTTTGAAATTGCGAATTGATAACCTGAACTTTTCTTTACATTTGCGCTTTTATTCTGAATCTCTCCTCACGACATGCAGTTATTTGCTATAATTCTTTGCAAAAACGCCATTTTCCATATTGTGAGTCCCAGCCTGTAGTTAAATGACATGGCAGAACCGAGCTGGTCCGGTTCTACACTGTTTGATGAGCTGTGCAGCGCTCACTAATGATTAATAATTTGAACGTTATCATCTTGTCACAGCCTGGCTACAGTCGCACATCGCTGAGGGGTTCCGGTACAGCGTTTGCTTCCCGCGGTACCCGAGCCTGACAACTCTCGCAGGCACTAACATCACAACCTCAACGAACTCCAGCACAGGTGCGTTATGAACCTCGCTTCTGAGCGAGCATTGGGATCGGTTTATGTTACATGGCGCAGGAAATGTTTAATTAAATTCTATTCCATCATTATATTTGTATTTGATACTGAATATACATTAATGTGTTAACTTCATTTTACAAGTGGGATAACTCTCTTGGTTTTATTATATTGTTCAATTGGCTAATAGCAAGTGAAAGTTTATAAAGTTAAAGTGTACGTCCATAATGATCACAATGAACATTGCTAATCTTATCGTTTCGATCATAGGTTCTTATAATAATCAAGCTCATCATCAGTAGAATACGTCTAACTTTATTAAATACATTAATTCCCAACTAAAGATTACTTGAGGTTGAGAACTTTAAAATATACGTACGTGGCGGGTGACATTTTTGCACTACCCAAATAAAGATTACTTGAGGCTGAGAACTTTAAAAAATACATACGTGGCGGATGACATTTTTGCACGTCAGGCGTTGTGAGCATCAACGGCGTGGCCGCGAGCTACCTGGACATCACAGCAGCCAACGGCGTCCTGCACGTCGTCGACGACCTCATCGTCAGCGGGTCCTGATAAACTTAATGTCAGCGGGTCAAGGGAGCCTCAATGTCAGCGGGTCTTGGGGGTCTCTATGTCAGCGGGTCATGGGGGCCTCAATGTCAGCGGGTCTTTGAGGCGCCTCAATGTCAGCGGGTCATGGGGGCCTCAATGTCAGCGGGCCTAGGGGGCCTCAATGTCAGCGGGTCATGGGGGGCCACAATGTCAGCGGGTGATGGGGGCCTCAATGTCAGCGGGTCATGGTGCCTCAATATCAGCGGGTCTTGGGGGCCTCAAAGTCAGCGGGTCTTGGGGGCCTCAATGTCAGCGGGTCTTGGGGGCCTCAATGTCAGCGTGTCATGGGGGCCTCAATGTCAGCGGGTCATGGAGGCCTCAATGTCAGCGAGTCTTGGGGCCTCAATGTTAGCGTGTCATGGGGGCCTCAAAGGCCTCAATGTCAGCGAGTCTTGGGGCCTCAATGTTAGCGGGTCATGGAGGCCTCAAGTCCAGCGGGTCGTAAGGGGCCTCATCGTCAGCGGGTCCTGATAAACTTAATGTCAGCGGGTTATAGGGGCCTCAATGTCAGCGGGTCTTGGGGGCCTCAATGTTAGCGGGTCATGGGGGCCTCAATGTCAGCGGGTCTTGGGGGCCTCAATGTCAGCGGGTCTTAATTGGGGGGCCTCTCCAACTGCTTGCAATAACCATTAATTCTTTCACGAAATGTGCGAATTTTTTCAACAATCTGAGTAACTATCTTAGTTCAAAATTAATTATTTTCCAACTTCCATAGCGACTAGGTTATTTAATTGATCGAGAATTTATTTGATTTGATTTTCATAAAATGACAAATTTTTTTGAAAACCACATTTCTCAATAATATTGCCATCTTAGACCACTTGAGATATATTTCCCTACAAAATCCCTTAACTATTATTATTGCTCCAAACATTGTCAATGAAATCTGGCTAATAATTAATCCCACCGACCCTCGGTGGTCGACGGTGCATTTATTTTTAAATAAATATAACTATCATGTGGTGAAGAATCCTGTGGCGTTGAATACGCTGAAAATGACGTAATAAATCACAAATGCTCAGTGTTGAATTAAACGTTTGATTTTTGATCACCAGTGAGAGAATGATCGCCTTGTCACCCTGCTGTTTACCACAGAGCCTTCAATGCCTCCTCGCATAGAGGAGAATAACTTGTTGAGTTTACGAAGCTTTTGTTTTTCGATAAAAATACGAATTTGAAGTATACATTTCGTTTATACTATAAAGATCATGAAACATTCACGAGTAGGTCAATGCTTTTCCTGCCATACTGAAGGCTATAAAATTTATCTGATAAATCATGGCATAGGCCATGATTTATCTTGTACTGAGTTACGATGAATTTTTTATTAACACACTCATAAGCAGAATATTTTCGTACTTTTCTAGCCGACGACAGTAATAATTTAGAGCTTGAGCAATTTATTTGACAGATAATTATTATCGATATTTTAGTGCCCTCCGTTGTTAGCGTTTATTGATATTTTTGGTTGATCTGATATTTCATCAGTACCGAAAGGAAGTTCTAAGTAGGTACTCTTCATGAATGTCCTCTTTTCTTATTGTTTATGTCCGTTTAAATCCAATTAATGGTATCGGCGTATGTAACTGAAAACATTCCGTGATCATTATTTTTCTATTATATCATTGTCTTGTAAGGAGAGCTGTCACGTTTCTCGGTACATTGCAGACATACATTATATTACCAGATGGTAGAGCTATACTAACTATTATACCAAGGAATGTAAGGAAGCAAACCTTCCTTAAGGAAGCAAACAGGTAAAATTTCTGTTTAATATAAATGCAAAATGGTATAATACTTTCAGGCTGAGTTGTTACAAATGATCAACTTTTTCTCCTAATTCGGTGCACTTTGAATTCACGCACTCCCATACTTCCTATGTCTCGAGACTCAAACATAAATGTTGTACTTGCTCTACGCCACGCTACACTCAGCGTGCACATGCCATCCAAGCCTGGGTCACTTCAGGTCAAAGTATATCTTGTTCTCCTCAGCCTACGCGTCGTGTTTAGTGTAATTACATTTACGAGTCTCTTAAAGTATATCTTAACTAAAGAACGAATCGTCCATAAAATAAATATGTTTAGACCACTTAATTGCCTTTCATTTTATCCCTGAAAATAATGGGCTTGACTGTGATAAATAACGTGAAAAAATTTTAAAGTTATACGTATAGAAAAATTTTATAAAGTAAAAATCTTGTTCACACTGAGATATACTTGCATCTAGAACAAAAAACATTTTATGTTCTAAGAATGACCCAACGTCATTGGTAAGAAAAATATCATTAGGAGAACATATAATCTAGGAAAATACCATCAAGACTTAACGGATTTATAAAGGTAGTTTTTTTTAATTATTTCCAGACAGGAAACAATTAAAAAACTCAGGACTCAGGTTCACTCCTTGCAGTCTAAGAACACATTCTTGCATTATGGAGATGAGTGTTTTTTCAGCGCCCGACTGCGGGCAATTATGTATATTTAGCGCCGTAGCTGGCATCCCAGATCTGCATATTAACGGATTTATTAAGGTAAGTTTTTTTATTTATTTCCGGACAGGAAACAATTAAAAAACTCAGGACTCAGGTTTACTCCTTGCAGTCTAAGAACACGTTCTTGTATTATGGAGATGAGTGTATTTTCAGCGTCCAGCTCCGGGCAATAATGCATATTTTTCCGGACAATTTTGTATTATTTAGCGCCGTAGCTCGGGTCCCAGGTCTGCATGTCGCCCCAGTGAGTACCAAACCGAACTGACACCGGCAGCGGCACCGTCAGGCTCGCTAGCGGCCCACACAATCCCTCCGTGTCCTCCATCACCTCGCGAAGAACAGCTGCCATAGATAAATTATGTCTAGCTTAAAAAAAACAATTGAATCAAATTATATGATTACGTAATATGATTAACAGCATCAACAAATTATGAGGGAAAATTCCTTAGATAAATATAATTATTATGAGCTTCTGAAATCACGTAGTTCCATAGCATTTAAAATAGTTTTTCTCGAACGTGCTCACTGTTAGAATAGCATTATAGAATAGCGCCTAGTTGTCTCTACTAGATATAAGGGCGCTAGCACGAGAAGTCGGCAACACGACTAATAGAGCAACTTTTGCATGCGGAGCACGGCCGTGAAGCTTGCACCGAGCACACCTTCAGCAGCGTGTAGCTCTGGAAGAAGGTGCATACCTACTCACAGCAGCATGTAGCTCTACAGGAAGATGCAGACCTACTCACAGCAGCACGTAGCTCTACAGGAAAATATATACCTACCTACAGCAGCACGTAGCTCTACAGGAAAATATGTACTTACTCACAGCAGCATGTAGCTCTGCAGAAAAATATATACCCCTCCACAGCAGCATGTAGCTCTGCAGGAAAATATGTACTTACTCACAGCAGCATGTAGCTCTGCAGGAAAATATGTACTTACTCACAGTAGCATGTAGCTCTGCAGGAAAATATATACTTACTCACAGCAGCATGTAGCTCTACAGGAAAATATATACCTACCCACACTAGCATGTAGCTCTGCAGGAAGATGCAGACCTACCCACAGCAGCATGTAGCTCTACAGGAAAATATATACCTACCCACAGCAGCATGAAACTCTACAGGAAAATATATACCTACCTACAACAACACGTAGCTCTACAGGTAGTAAACGTACCCACGAACTCATGAAGTCTGCAGCTCGGAATCTGCCACACGAGTTCGTCGTGGATGTGAAGCACAAGTCCCAGTCGCTGGCTCCTGTCTCTGCCCCCACTCTTCCCTACCCTGGGGACTATCTTGTCCCCTATAAATGTATTCGTTCTCGGCAAACTGCCTTTTTCCGAAATTTTGTTCAGAAGAGAGTCTGGTGGTTTCGAAATTCCAGCAGCATCAGAATTTTTGTCCTTATTTTTCTCGATAATGGAGGAGTCAGCCTTGACGCTCAGTGGTGTCTTAAAAATTTTTCGATTGCTCGTCTTCTCTAAACGACTATGTGGGCTGCATTCGCCTGGGTTTGTCAAATGATTTGTTCGTTTGAGTTCGTCAGTAGACTCATCCAGACCATCCGCGGTTTGAGAGGATGAGCTGGAATTATTTCGCTCGTCTGAAGCGTTGTCGGAAGCAGCGAGAAGTTGTGGACACTCCGCGAGTTTGGCCTCCATGCGCACTTGGGCCGACTTGCAGAGGTCGGCGGCCGAACCTGGCGAATTACAATATTTGTCTCTGAGAAGGCGTTTTTAAAAAGAAACATATATTTTTAGCAGAAGTGGCAATAATGCCCGTGATTGAGAGAGTTAACTATGTTTGCATACATCAAACTCATGCGACATCGCCTCAAAATTCATCAATGTAATGTAATTTCTGTAGTCATTACATGCAGATCGTAAATGACCTAGAGACAGACTTAGAGCCACACGTTGTAGGCGCGCACAACATAAGTGTTGCTGTACCCTGAATGACGAAGTTTATCGCCTGTCTCTCAGCATAGCTGCGGAGCTTGGCGTCAGAGGAGCAGATGTAGGGGAAGTGACGGCGACGTTTGAAGAGCGTCGTCTGGTAGCCGAGACGTCGGCACTCTGCCACCACGCGCTCCCTGAATGCCCCCACACCCGGCACCAGCTCTGTCCATATACCGGCCACTTCAGAACAGCTCCATTCTTAGGGAAAATATATTATCTCAACCAAGCTTTAATTCAGAGGATTAAAAAATAGCATAAAAACTATTATTCAACGAGCTGTAACATTCATTTCCTGCGGAAGCTTCAAGCTTTCGATGAGCGCCAGAACGCGTCGTTAATAAACGCATCTGAAGAGTAGCATTCTATGGCTACTGAGGACTGAGTGCTGCGCCACCCCAGCGCACACGTCACGCCTGTACACCACATATAACCCCTCCTCCCAAACATACAAGCGCCACAAGTCTAAACTATTAACAAGTCTAAAGAACGTTATCCTCGTGCAATTGCGTCACGTGACTGTCACCCTCCCATGAATGTCGCCTCCATGAATATCGTCCTTTTGAATGTCGCCCCGTGAATATCACCCTCCCGTGAATGTTGCCCCGTGAATATCGCCCTTTCATGAATGTCGTCCCGTGAATATCAAGCTCCCATGAATGTCGCCCCCTGAATATCGTCCTTTCATGAATGTCGTCCCCTGAATATCACCCTCTCATGAATGTCGCCCCCTGAATATCGTCCTTTCATGAATGTCGTCCCCTGAATATCACCCTCTCATGAATGTCGCCCCATGAACTCCGCCCTCCCCATGAATGTCTGTGTACCGTTGAATGATGCGATGGCAGCAGCGGCGCTCTGTGGCGTCGTGCGCAGCGCCTGCGCGAGTTTTTCGCGACCTGCGC